TATTTCGATTCGGACAACGCTTAACTTTTTACAGCGCGAACTCATTCGCATACGTTCGATTACTTTCCGTCGATCGTTCCCGTGAAACGCGTCGAAATTGCGGCCGGCTCGAACACCGTCCTCGTTATTATATCGCATTGCATATACAGGGTGTCTCACTGTAGCTGTCAAAACGCAATATCTCCCTTATCGTTAATGATATTAAAAAATGCTGGAGGAACAAATTGTATGGTTCGAAGGGGCACGTGTTGCAGCGGAAATTATTTCATTTTGGAGGTCATATTTTTCGAGATTTCAAAACCATCGATGTTCTTTTCAACGGGATTACGTATTTCTATCATTATATCATGATTGCTAAGATCAAGACGGATCCAATGACCTATGGTAACACGACCTTCGCCTGATCAAATCGGTTGCGACTTGAATAAAAAACGGAATTAAATGATGTACAGAAGTCGGTGGAAATAATTTCGAACATTTAATCCAATAAACTTTGTCATTGTCGATCTCTGTGTTGTAGCCATTTCAGCATTCGTGGTCATTTCTAAATGAACGGGAATACGCGTCCTTTCGAACCATACAATCAGCATTTTTGTGTATCATTAACGATAGCGGAGATATTGCTTCGCATCGGTGAAACAGCCTGTACAAATAACGCCGAGACAGAACACGCGAAACAATTCCGTTGGAACGTGCGATAAAAATTTCCGTACGCGGGTGGTTGTTGCAATACGCTTTACGGGATCGCGTTAGCTCCAACTTTCAAGGCGGAAACCCCTAAAATGTTTTACGCGCCGGAAATCGTTCTCGCGACACGTTTTTCCATCGGCTGACACGGTTCCCCGTTACGATTCCCCTTCGCCTCTTTTAATAGCCGTAATCCCGCGAATTTCTCCACCTGCCAGTGCCGCATCGCGTGACATTTAATAATGCCATTCTCAAAAATTTATGTGCGACCGTGTTAAAATGAAGCCCGTAAATTCAATTCGTAGGAATTCGTTAGTCGATGCTGAATCTTCTGCGGTTCAATTCTTGCTAGCTGCGAGAGAACCGTGAATCGCCATGCGGAATAAAAATTTGCTGAGTCCGTTGCAAAATACAGAAACTGCATGATAGTGAACATGTTAGAAACGGTGTACAATAAGTAGACGAAAGTAGTATAGCAACAATGGATAAATGAAACGTAGAGTAAGAAGAATTTACAAATACCGTCTCGTTATTGCTACTGCATTAACATGAATCAAAGAAGAAAGAAATGCATTTTTATCTAGCTCCTGTTTCTCTTTTAACGATAATAATAATAACTTTATTTATCAACAGGACGAGTCCTTCGTTTTTGCAATTTCATTTTATGTAATCGACGAGGACAATTTTTTATTTTGCACAAAGATCCGATGTTTTTATAATAGTAAGTAGACGATATTTTTAAATTCTTCTCTGGCGCCTTTCGAATTTTTTATTTCATCTATTCTATCGATTATGACAGTTGGTCGAAGCAGAAGTACGAAGAAAACTTGAGAAATTCTGCATCGCGTAGATCGTGATACAATGCCGCATAGAAACGCCCACGGAATAATCAAGTTGCATGCGCATCATTGCAATATTCTTGACAAACCGATGCAAGAATATGCTTCGTGAATTATGAACGCATTACGTGAATTGATTCGGGACACAATACGGGCCGATTGTGAATTATCGGACGATGCATTTTTTAAAGCGATCTACCGATAAATCGTAGCGTGCTGAATTCTCATTTCACGAGAACGCCGATTCTCGCGCTACGAATCACGGTGAGAGAAATTTCGCGCTGGTTTAATTGGATCGCGAAGGCGCGATTGGCGGCGCCCGAGAGAATGATACAGCCGCGGATCGATCGTCGAGGAGATCATTTCCGGCCGCGGCGACAACATTTCGGCGCGTGTAAATTTTTCATCGGCTGATCCCCGATGGCCGACGCGTGACTGTACATTTTAGCAGCCGGCCTCGTTAATCCGCGGCATCCTCGATCACGGGAGACGCGTGTCGGCACTGTCATGGAAGTAGGAAAAGGATACGCTCCGAAGAAGGTAATTTATGTTCGAGCCGCGCAACTTTCCGTTTCACCATTGATCCGATGAAAAATTACTGAATTCCAGCGGGAGACATTGTGATCGCGCGTAGCCCGCGGATCGTACGCGGATTCAACCCACCGAAATCAGCCGCATCGCATTGCCATAACGTTTTTCAGCCATTTCTGTATTACCATATTCTCCGTTGCTCGAGGAACATTTGAACATTATTTTTTGCCTCGCAGCTGTATTTTTATTCGCTGAAGTTGCGGCAGAGTGATGCTCGCTCGGTTTGGAAATTTGTGGCCGAGATAGGCTACGTGTACGTAGGCACAATGAATTCTCCTCAGTCGAATATTTTATTCGAGCAACAATTTTTCGTTGTAAATTGTTCTGTCTATTTATTCGAATAATTCTTTATTTCTATTTGAAAATATTGAGGAATAATGTTCATTCTATTTATAATTATTGTAGAATAATCTTTATTCTATTTATAATTATTCTAGAATGATGTTTACTCTATTTGTAATTATTTTAGAATAATCTTTATTCTATTTATAAGTATTTTAGAATAATCTTTATTCTATTTATAATTATTCTAGAATGATGTTTATTCTATTTGTAATTATTTTAGAATAATCTTTATTCTATTTATAAGTATTTTAGAATAATCTTTATTCTATTTATAAATATTTTAGAATAATCTTTATTCTATTTATAATTATTCTAGAATGATGTTTATTCTATTTGTAATTATTTTAGAATAATCTTTATTCTATTTATAAGTATTTCAGAATAATCTTTATTCTATTTATAATTATTGTAGAATGATGTTTATTCTATTTGTAATTATTTTAGAATAATCTTTATTCTATTTATAAATATTTTAGAATAATCTTTATTCTATTTATAATTATTCTAGAATGATGTTTATTCTATTTGTAATTATTTTAGAATAATCTTTATTCTATTGATAAGTATTTTAGAATAATCTTTATTCTATTTATAATTATTATACAATAATCGTCATTCTAATAATTATTATAGAATAATTTGTATCCCATTCATGTCCATTTATTCGAATAATTTTGCCATCTCTATACGAATAACTTACGCGAATAATTTTACGATCTCTATGCGAACAACCTATTCGAATAATCTATTCGAGCACTTAGAAATGAATTCTTATTCGAATGAAATCTCATTCCGACCAATTTATATCTACATAAATGTTTATTCGATCGGAATGCCTAGAAATGAATTCGTAATTCGAATAAAATCTCATCGCGATAAATTTTAATCCGGATAAATTTTGTACGCGATCGGATATTTATTCGACAGCGTCGAATAAGATTTTATTCGTCAATCTTCGCGTCTCTGCCTTTCGGTTCTTCGAGTGCCTGCTATAAAACACTGTTCAGAACTTGTTAAGTATGCAAATCGATAGATTCGACGCGAAAACGTTAATTTCGCGATGCTGAATAATATCGGTATACGCGAACGCGCATCAGAGATAACGTGAATAATAACGGGCCCCGGTTTATTTAACCATAAACGGAAATTGCTTTTGTTGTATATACGCGGTTATACGCCCGGCAACTTTGCATAATTCTTCTCGAACCTGTCAGTCGTGTTTTATGGGAACGAATTCGTTCGGGTGGAACGGCGGCGGGTCTTAAAATTCCGGGAACGAATTTCCCCGGACGAAAGTACGGCGAGCTGTTAGGCCAGTTAGAGCTGCACCGGGGGCCGGCCGTGATAAAGATTCATACACGCCCGGTGAACCGTAACTCGAGCTTCGGATCCGTCTCCAGAGCGACACGCGCTGCCATAAATCATATCCGCGGGTGAATCGCGGACACGCGCGTCGACAGTCTCGTTCAGATTTGATTGCCTCTGTCGATCTATCGATAAACGCGTCCGGATCGTCTAAATTGGCTGATCAAACGGTCGTTGCTTGTCACGGGAGAACGACAGAAAGAAATCGTCCTCGAATTACACTTGAATTAATGCTCGCTGGAAGCCGGGGCGAATTATCGTCCTCTTTTAATTTGTCGGCCGAGAGACTTTTTATTCGCGGTGTGAAAACTTCTTCCGTTATTTCTGCCGACGAGAGATAAATAGGGAGGTCCGACGCCGCGGCGCGTTTTCTCGAAATTTCGCGCGCCGCTGTGTCGTATTTCCCTCTCGGCCAAAATTTCTCCTGGCATCGACAGTGAAAAATGACTGATGCGACGCGAAACGATCGAGCATTAAAACAACGAAAAAAGGCTCTCCGTGATAAAACACAATCTACCGTTCATGCGCGCACGAGACCCGTGTAATAGAAGCGCTACTATATACACCGCCGTGTAAAATGGACGGAATGACAAACAAAATCCTCAAATTTTTATACGCCGAACGGCGCGCGCTGTTCGACGAAAAAAACCGCTGCTGCGGAGAAGTTATCGAACTTCTGTGATCACTGTCCCTTGATGTTATAATAATAATGATGATGATTATTATTATTTATTAACGAGTTCAATAAGCCTTTTTATAGTACAAGTCTGACTCTATATAGTACAATTTAGTACATTATTATTATTGTTTGGAATCTCCCAAATTACAGACAGTCATTTCTGCGATAAATGCATAGAATTAATCTCTATACTATTTACAATTTATTATATTACAATTTACCATATTTACAATTTACTATATTTATTATTCAGAACCTCTAAAATGCGTAAAATCCGCAGTCGAATAATCACTATGATTAAGAAATTTCATCGCGAAATGATCACCGAATAAAAATTAAATCACCGTCGTCCCGCGAGAACGCCGCAGCGCCCAATTAAAATTCATTAGCCGCTTCGAAATTGGGCCGCAAAATAAAAGGAAAGAAAGAACGTCGACCGAATAGGGTAACCGTCCTCGAACCGCCAACGCACCAACGTCCAGCGCCGCTTTCAGAGCAGAAAATCGGGGCCGGAGAGAAGGTTCGATATCTCGAACATCGGCGAACCCAGGCTCGCCTCGCGTCGCGACGCGGATCGATAGGATCTTGAAACATTGACGAGACCCGCGCGTCGTTCAGGGGTCGGGTCGCAAGAGGGTGCCCGATCGCGTAATCATAGTGATCGGCGTCGAGCGCGGCGCCGGCCGCCGTTGGACCCGCGAAATCATCGAGAATCGTCGAGCGAGAGTGGATCGGAGCCGCGGGAACCATGCTGTGTCCAGGACGACGATGAAGGTTGGCAGCGGCACGAGCCGAGATCGAATCGTGCCGTCGAAACCGGAAGTCTCGGGGATCCCGCGTTCGTCGATCGCTCGCGAGAAGTGTCCGGCGACTCGCGCGGGCCATCCGCGAACGCGTCGAGCCGATGCACCGACGCGTCGGCGTCGTTCTCTCAAATGAGAGCACCGAGGAAGAATCCGCTCGTTGGATAATCGGTGTAACATAACGTCTCCACCCCGCGCGCATTCGTTCGAACGATGAACGGTGAGAACGCACCCTTAAACATGAGTGAATCAGTGAACCCTGAGAAACGATTACGCGCCACGATGCAGCTGACGGAACGCGGTACGTTTAGTGAAGTGCATCCCGGCGATAAACAAACAGAGTTGCGTAACAGTGCCACCGACAACCCCGGCTCGGCGGATCTGACTTGAGGAGGGAGCAGAACAGGCGTAAATGTCACTGAGAAGGTTGGTACACCTGCTTTCCGCGGGTCTGTTTGCTCTTCGACCGAACGTGGTAACGAATGCTTCGGGACATTAGCGATTCGGTATTTCGGGGTTTTAATAGCTCGTCGACTCGATGGCTGCAGAGTCGTCTCTGGGAGCGATCAATTAATTCTTCGCGGTGAAAGGGTTGCTGCTACGTTCTACAATCGATTTTAGCGTTCAACTACTTGGGACACAGGATTACAGAAAATAAGATAGACCCATGTTGCACGGAAATTTTATCGCGTTTTAAATTCGACGAAATTGGTTTAGTTTTAGTAATAAAGGAATCACGTAATGTAAAAACATAAAAAATAATAATAATTCAATTCAATTTATAGGATAGGACACAAATAGTCTCACCGTGCCACGTGGGTTCATCAATGTCCGTACAGCTATTGCAATATTTCGAGGTGGGTCTAAAAATGTCCCATGCATTACCGTGCGTCAAAAAAATGGGACATTTTTAATTCCACTGTACCTCAAATTAATGCATTCACTGTCGAGCCTGTTTCGAAGAAATCCGATTTGGGTGTTATTCCTTTCTTTTTCTAATAAATATATCAATCGTATGTAGAAAATATTAATAAGCAAAGAATAATAATAAATAAAAATAATAATAATAATATTATTAATAATAATAATAGTAATAAGCAGAAGATAATAATAAGTAAAGAATAATAATATACAAATCCTTTCTCGTTTGTCAACAATGAACCTTTAATAAACGCGTCGAGTTGACCGTCTACCACGAGATAACACCTGGTTGGCAGTGAATGGGTTAAAATCTGCAGTAAGAATTGTATTTTCTATGTATCTTTGACTGCATAAAATCTACAACGTATAATTCGTTTAAGCAAGGTCGAAACGAACGTTTCAGGTCAGAACATCTTAATCTAATTTAATTTATTTAATAATCGGGAAGTAAGCTGACAAGCTGCAAGTTTTCTTCATAAATTGCGCAACAAGAAAGAGTGTTGTAACATAGCCGTCACAAGAAACCGTTAATTTTCTTCGCCTATTACAGAAGCTGATACATACAGCTACAAAAAAATTCTATCAATCTAAACAGCAAGACTGAAAATGTTTAGTATCTTTTTCAGTCTAAAATCACGATGATATAATAGTGATAATTAGCATCGTTTCCTCTCTCTCTCTCTCTCTCTCTCTCTCTCTCTCTATTTCGATACTCATTAAAAAACTGAACAATAGACAATACAAACCCTACTTAAACACCGCCCCTAATAAAAAAAAATGCTCGGAGCCACTCGCGAGAGAATAGCCTAAGCAATTCAGACGTCAAAATAAAAATCACATCGCCCGTAAGACGACCGAAAAGTGTCATTCCACAGTCTCTCCAAGGTCCTCCAGTAAATCGAGAACGTTCAGTGAGCAGCAGCTCGACGAGGGACACCGCAAGAGCCACTTCTCCGGTAAATGGAGGGAGAGGAAGGAGTACAGCAACGCCCACGCTCGAAGCAGAAAGAGCAAGAGACGGATAGAGTAGAGAGAAAGAAACAGAGAAAGAGGGAGAAAGAGAAAGATAGAGAGAGAAAGAGTCGGCAGGGCGCGTTCTTCTTCTTCTTATTTACCTTTTTCGCTGCTTTCCAGGCTAACGGATTTCATTCGTATGCAGATTAGAGCTGGGCGCGGGACGCGCGCAATATGGCGGCGCACAATGGCCGCGTTGGAACCCGGCTTAGCCGATTGTGTTACGTTCGCTGTGGGCCAGCTCGACTGGAAAAAAACTCGGCCCCCGGAAAAATGCCGCGGCGTAGTAAATTCCTTTTTCGGTCGACACGGTTCGCGTTGGAAAGAAAGAGACCTTCCCTCGACTGGCCTCGCACCCTCGGATTCAAACAGCCGCGGCCGCGACTCGCTTCGAACCCTCGCGGCGGCGAAATCTTTTCTTTCCTCTAGAAACGCGTTTAGTCGCGACTAGCGAGCGCCGATTCGCATGAATGAATTTCGAAATCGGCCATTTTACCGCGTTTATTAACACTGTCACGTACGCGCGATTCATGCCGGTGCTTCGGCATCCCAGCAGTCTTTTCCACGGGTCCCCTCTCATTTTCTTTTTCCTTTTTTTTTGTCGGAGAATCGCATTTTGGACCCAGAAAGGTCCATCAGACTCGCACAATTTACATGCCCTTTCGAGAAATCTGACAAAATTATATGTTTCTAACAATAACGAAAGCCGAACACTGTAAAAATATAAAGAGAAAATATAAAATTATATATTATTATATTATATATATATTATATTATATATTATTATATTAAAATTATATATTAAAATATTAAATAAAAATAATATAAATATAAATACAATCTCAACATAAAATTGCGAATTTATATATCTTTTGATTTTTTACAAATCGGTTTTGAAATCGAAAAATCTGCAGAAATTCTCGAACGTGTATCCAAGGGGATAGAAGCTTCATGATTTTTTTCATAATTTTCTGTCGAATGAAATAGGAGAAATTGAACTGAAACCGTAAATCCTGTCCAACCCTGTAACTACCCCAATACAAGATTTTCTTTGGAGGATCTAGCGCTCGGTGTATAGCACTTTTCAAATTAACAGTCAGACTTTCTTAAAATAATTTCGACGACTCCAGACGTAGATCTCGGTCTCGCCATCGTACTAATTGCCCGCGAATCTCTAAGAATCCGTCCGCCCACTGAAAGTCGTATTTCTCCGGAAAGCTGACGGGCGACGATCAGCTGAAGAAATTCGCCGGAGGTGAAAGGCGACGAGATCTCGGAATAAGTATAAGAAGAAGGAGACGACGACGAAGAAGAAGAAGAAGAAGAAGAAGCGTTAACGCGGAACTTCTCTAACTATCGTCGGCGGGAGATGCCGCGCCGATAAGCGTAACATTGTTTCCGCGACCTCGTTCGCGACTGCTCCGCCCTCGAGAGCTGGTTGCCGTTGTCGCAGCCGAGATGATAAAACGTCCCCGGGCTGGTCTGATTCATAGACAAGCATGGAAAGTTTCCGTTTTCGCGACTTAGGCGCGCGGGACGTGCCCGGACTGGCCGATCGCTAGGCCCTGGCCGCAGCGACCCAGGCAAATTACCAAAAAGCTTGGCACGAGACCCGGTTTCCTCTTTAGGCACTCGAGAACTCGCGCCAACTCGCGTCGCCCCTATCGGTCGACGCGACCGGCTATGCAATCGCTGTGCAACGGCTATGCAACCTGCGCCCTGCGACCCGAACCGCCAGGAAATTCCGAATCCGGTCGATTGTCGCGGCGGAATCAAAGCGCCGATTAAATTGATCGGGAACGAGAATCGGTCCGTTCGATCGTCGACTCCTGCGAGCTGGATTCCTGCAAGAATTTGATTTTTAAACAAATTACAATTTGCTGATTTTTCTAGCGGAGGCTGCGAGCTCCGCCACTTTAATCGGATCGTTGGCAGACCACTGCTGAACGATTTCAACCCTCCGCTCTGTCACAATTGCTACGCGAAGCACGTACAGTGGCCCACAAATGTGCTCGTACACCTTTTTAAATGCACTGACTTTTTTCAAACTGGACTAAATGACTTGAATCTTTTTTAGATGATAGGGGAGAAACTGGTCTATTAGAGACAACGAGTAAAATGGTTCTTTTTTAATTTTGCTATTACACTTGGAACGAAATAGAAATATAAAGAGCACTTGTTTTACAACTTTTTTATCTGAGCGTATTACGGAAATTTAAAAAATGCCTTTCCTCATTTTGTCCAGTTTTAAAACATTTATGGGCCACTGTGTGTCATACAATTTTCGAGCAACTGCCACTCAAACCTTGCAATAATTTTACACAAAAATTTTAACGTGTCATCTGAACATTTTAGAACATTGCTTTCTTTATTAGAACTCGATATCTTGCTTCCAAGTATATCGAAATAATTGTTAACTTCATATATTTTTGACAGCGGAGCTGCAACTCGAATTAGAACAGATGAGAAATAAATCGATGCTATACGAATCCTTTGCGAACGAGGATTGTCGAAAGTACAATAGAAGTAATCACGTGAACACGAGCGTATTTGGATAACGACACAGCTAGTTAGTTGCGATGTTGATTTAAATTCTCCCTGGGGTGCACAATAAATCATGTTGCATATGATGTATTACATCGCGTTGAATTGCTTGCTCACGAAAAGTAATTGTGTGCAATCGGATAATTGTGTGGGTTCGAATGATGGTGGCGTTAGTCACGTTTTCCTCACTTCGTGAAACAAGGAATGCTATTGTCTGCTAACGTGTGTATTGTTTATAATTTAGAGTTCGATTAATTTCGAATGAAGTTCATTTACAGTGAAGCTAATTTAGAGGGAAATTAATTTAGAGTTAAGTGAATTTACAGTTTAATCAATTCAGAGTAAAGTTAATTTACATAATTATATAACTCTATCATTTACTACTTATCCTATGTTATTATCTTTATATCAATACTTTTTTAACACTTTCGCATGTATGGATTACATTTTAACATATTTCTCGGAGAACTAGATTATGCACCAAAGATTCGAGTAACAAGAAAATAACGAGAAATCAATTCGCGATCTTCTGTTACGTGCCTAATCGAATTCGGTATTAGCAACCTCTGGAAGAAACTATACGATCCTGACGTTGATATTCGTCCTCGGAACAAAAACGGCTCAATGAAAATCCTGTTATCTACGATCCGAGCAAAACTCCGCGGAACGGAATCCCGTATTACCGTCGACAAAAATCGAGCGCAGCAGTCGGTTCATCGATTCGGAGTCGAACCGTTCGAATCTCGGACTTTGATCTCGACCGAGGGTGGCAAAAAGGAGAGATCGCGTCGTCAGCGCGCTGGGATTCGAAAAACTGGCGGCAAGTCGAACCGAGGAAAGAAATTACTCTCGAAAGGAACGGCTCCTCAAAAGGCGGGGCGAAGCTGGAATTAAACGGAAATGGAAACGCGGAAGACGGTGGGGAACAGACAGAGAGAGAGAGAGAG